TCAATTTATTTGTACATATTTGTATAATAGAAAAGTCTGTCTTCCCATCGAATTCCAGCATCGGATCAATGATTCTAGATTGCTCTCACATGTATAGAGAGACGTCAATTTTTGTTTAATCATTTTGAAGACGATATTTTAAAAATGAAAATCCTATGACATCAGATGAAAGAAAAATAAATTAAAAATAAAAGAATACTAAAAAAAAATGATTTTCATTTATCATTCAGAATAGAGGAGTCTAAAAAGAAAAAAACTATTATTTTCAAATTTAATCTTCAATTTAACCGAATGAATTCATCATTGTATGATAAAAAGAAACACATATATAAAATATTGCAGATAAATTTTGAAGTATAATTAAAGGTTTTGTTCTCATCGTTGCTTTCTCTAAATGTAAGTGTTCGACCCACACAGTGTATATGTAAGATAAAAGTTTTTTTCGTCGACGACGATATGATATTAATGTACGTCAGACGAGAAAAAAAAATATACACATATCACTACCTAAAAATTGATCATCAAACCAATTATGTGATGTTATGTGTTGAATGATTGATAAGAAAATCAATTAAAATCATGAGCATCGATCAATTAACCTGAGAGTCTATAAAAACATGAATACATCATCATGAAACAATACACTCGAGTTGTATCATTACAATGTATTTATATACCCGGGTTGATTATTATTATGATATTATTTACAATGATAATGATATATTGTATTATATTTAAGGTAAATTAATTCATTTTATATTTAAAATTATACTTTTCTTTTTTAGATGAGCTACGATACTATATAACATTGAGAGGTAGGACAATAAAAATTTTTTTACATGTTGAGTTGAGTTGAGATAACTTGTTTTGAGAGAACATAAACACTGTCAGTCATTATGAGTATAAGTATGAGTACGTTTGAGATGAGATGAGTTGAGTTATAGATATTATCAGTGTGGGTCAGAGAGCTATGTTGTCTGACTCAATAGGTAGAGGAATTTTCTTGCCATAGCGAAGCAGTGTAGTACTAGGGAAGGCCTCTATGAGTCGTTGGTCCCTACTGTTCATACGGCATACCTTCGGTCATTGCCCTACCAGTCCGGCGTGGTCCGCCTGTGATACCTATAGCATTGACAAGGGATCTCTCCCTTGTCGCGCGCGCGCATAAGTCACAGTGAGCCAAGAAAAATCGAAACGATTAGCAATGTGAATAATTTTATTGAGCATATAAAAAAAACAATTTACACTTTTTTAACATTGTTAAGTCTACGAATCGTTTCTTTAATATGAGGATGTGATGGCGGAAGTGTTTTCTGTTGAATAGCTAGCGCCTTTTCGAGAAATGAAAGTGCCTTGGAGTAATTGCCCATATTGTTATACACTTGGCCCATGTTGCCATATGAAATAGCCAAATCGAGATGATTCGGAGGCAGAGCTTTTTCTCTTATTTTATGTGCTTTTTCGTAAAATTCAAGTACTTTCGAGTAGTCACCCATGTTCTTATACACTCCACCGATGTTGTGGTAGGAAGTAGCCAATGAGGGATGATTCGAAGGCAGAGCTTTTTCTCTTATTTTAAGTGATTTTTCGTAAAATTCAAGTGCTCTCGAGTAGTTACCCATGTTGTTATACACGAGACCGATGTTGTTGTAGGAAGTAGCCAAATTGGGATGATTCGAAGGCAGAGCTTTTTCTTCTATTTTAAGTACTTTTTCGTAAAATTCAAGGGCTTTCGAGTAGTCACCCATGTTATTATACACGAGACCGATGTTGTTGTAGGAAATAGCCAAATTGGGATGATTCGAAGGCAGAGCTTTTTCGAGGATTTTATGTGCTTTTTCGTAAAATTCAAGTGCTTTCGAGTAGTCACCCATGTCCTTATACACTCCACCGATGTTGTTGTAGGAACTAGCCAAATCGGGATGATTTGGAGGCAGAGATTTTTCGTCGATTTTAAGTGCTTTTTCGTAATATTCAAGTGCTTTCGAGTAGTCACCCATGTCGTTATACACTTGACCCGTGTTGCTGTAGGAAGTAGCCAGTGAGGGATGATTCGAAGGCAGAGATTTTTCGAGGATTTTATGTGATCTTTCGAAAAATTCAAGTGCTTTCGAGTAGTTACCCATGTTGTAATACACTCCAGCGATGTTGTTGTGGGAAGTAGCTAATGAAGGATGATCTTCTGGAAGAGTTTTTAGCATCATCTCGAGGGATTTTTCGTGAAATGATGCTGCTTCTTTGTATAGTCCTTGATGATCTTTCAGCACTGCAAGATTGTTGTAAATTATAGCTCTAGTATCGTCGTTGGATATTTGTTCGAGTAGTGTGGTATACAATTTCTCGGCCTTGTTATATTGTCCTATTTTTGACAGCAATACACCCAATCGTCCCCAACATGTCTGATGTGAATCTTCTCCTAGTATACTTTCTGTGAGTTGACGCAGTTGTTGGTCTTCATCCGACGTCAGTTTAAGATCTACTTGATAGAGTGAACTTTCATTGTCAAGTTTTCGAATTTCACCAATTCGAAAAACAGTGTGCATAGAGAAGAGGATTTCACTTTCTTCCGCGAAATTACTTACTTCCCGGATAGAGGCAAATGGACTTGATAAGATGGTCGGATCTATCGACATTTGAAAAAGGATACCCACCATACCGGGTTTTTCTATGGCACTTTCAGCAAAAGCAAGAGAAGCAGCTTCATCTGTACTGGTGGATAAAAAATTATTGAAGGAAATAAGTCCACCTTTGTTCTTCTGGAGTTTGTCGAAGTCGACTGTGGATAATCCTTGTCCCCGATAAACTTCAAAGATCTTTCCATGATAAAGACTGATCTGTTGTTTGTGTAAACTATCAATTTGCCGATGCAAATCAGCGAGAAAGAAACCCATTCTTATAATTGTCTCGCCATCGAGCGTTCGAAGAGACTGGTTGAGCATCTCATAAAGAAAACATTCACGACTGTACCACCAAATTGCTGATTGATCACTATATTTAAGTTCGAACTCAGCGATATCTTTTGCTTTAGCTTTGTTATTCTTGTATTCGTTTCGCCAAAATTGAATAAAATCCTTCTTGGCTTGT